ACTGCAGTCAGCATGGTTGTGAGATGGAGTGCAGTCAGCCATTGCTCCTTCACCTCTCCTGTGTACTCTTCCCCCCACGTCCTAAATCAGCCGGGACGTTGGACGCAGAGGAGTCCAATTAGTCTTTTTAGCTACAAGCCCAGCTCCTGTTCCTGCCCATCCCAATGAGCAGGTATTCGCTCCTGCCCACCTGTGACTCACCTATCAACTGAGAGGGGATGGTATTGCCATGTTGTGTAACCACGCCCCTCACAAGCCCCTTTAAAAGGCCCGTGAAGCGGGGGGACTCACTCTCTCCGGTCAGGTGTTTCTGTTACTCTGGCACCTGGACTCTTGGCTGACCCAGGACAGGTAATCCCCTGAGCATGGTCCCTGTGTACTGCTTTGATTGGACTTGTGATCTGTTATTTTAGTATGTTCTGTTATCACCACGCTTGGTTAATAATGACTCCTTACTGAAACCTTAGACATGTCTGGTGTGATCTCGTTCGCACCCCGGAACAGTTGTCTGCTCAGATATATAGTCCATTCGGGCAGCCAAAAAATGTTTGAAATTGTTATTGTTAAATCTTTTGGGGGTCATTTAATTCTTTATTTGAGAGAAGGAGAGGAAGGGAGAGAGAGTGAGAGAGAGAGAACAAATGCTCCCATCTGTTGGTTTACTTCCTAAATGCCCACATCAGCTGCAGCCGGGCCATACTAAACCCGGGAACCAGGAACTCAATTTGGGTGTTCACGAAGATGACAGGGTCCCAAGTACTTGAGCCATCACCTGCTGTCTCCCAGGGCCTGCATTAGTGAAAAATTGCAGTTGGGAATGGAGCTGGGACTTCAGCCCAGATAAGGGATGCCAGGGGCCCAACTGCTGCCTTAACTGCTGCCCCTTCAAAGAAATCTGAGACACTTACTAGGTGTAGGCATTTTGCCTAGTGATTAAAACACCTGCTTCCCACCATGAAGTGCTAGGGATGCTGACTTCCCTGACTGCAGCTCCTGATGCTGACTTCTTGCTAATGCAGACCCTCAGAGGTAGCAGGCACTGGCCCAGCACTCAGGTTCCTGAGCCTGCGTTGTGATGCAGCAGGCGAAGACACTGTCTTCATCCCTTCATCCCTTCTGAACACAGGTTTGAGTCCTAGCTGCTCCACTTTTGATCAGATCCTTGTTAAAGCATCTGGAAAAGACTGCAGAAGATGGCCCAAGTGCACGGATTCCTGTCACTTGGGAGACCTGGATGGATTTCCTGGCCTTGGCCTGGCCCAGTCCCAGCCATTGCAACCATCGCTAGAGTGAACCAGTAGATGGAAGGTCTCTTGCTTTCTTTGTTACTTCACCTTTCAAATAATAAATGCATCTGTTTGTTAAGATTGATTTATTTTTAATGGAAAGTTAGATATACAGAGAGGAGAGACAGAGAGGAAGATCTTGTGTCCGATGATTCACTTGCCAAGTGACCACAATAGCTGGAGCTGAGCCGATCCAAAGCCAGGAGCCAGGAGCCAGGAGCTTCTTCCTTCCAGGTCTTCCACGTGGGTGCAGGGTTCAACGCTTTGGACCATCCTCTGCTGCTTTCTCAGACCTCAAACTGGTTGCTGGATGGGAAGCGGGGATGCTGGGATTAGAACTAGTGCCTGTATGGAATCCCGGGGCGAGCAAGGTGAGATCTTTAGCCACTAGGGCCCTGAAATAGTAAATACATCTTTCAGAGAGAGACCTGAATGTATTCTGGGTTCCATACCCTTTTTCATTCTCAAAAATAACAACAGCAGCAATAAATAAGCTGTGACTGTGGTCACAGGGTGGAGGCCGACCTTTCTTATCTTTCGATACTATTCTGGTTTGACATGGTGCCTGGGGAACAGGCGCAGAGGCTTCAGAGATGAAAAGGAGACAACGGACTTCACTTTTTAAAATGACCTTTCCCCAAACATTATAAACTTTAAATGAAAACATGACAGATCTGTCCATGTGTTTAGGCTTCACGCAGGGCCGGGGAGCGAGTTCTGCTGCTCTCCCGTTGCAAACACTCCCACATTTGCACAGTGATTTGATTCTGGAGCTTTTGTCCCAGATTTCTAAGACTTATTTAGACTAACAGGCTTGTCCCACATATATCCAGGATAAAAATCTCCTATGGTGTTTACCACTGGTTTGTTTAGTATTGAGATCTATAATGACTAGCCCTTAAGGGTTGTGACATTTGTAGCGGGATGCCTCTGTGGAGTCTCATAGATACTGTGTTTTGTTTTCTTTTTTTCAACTTTCCCTTACTTCTCATATAGGCTTTGACCAAAGGCTGATTTTCCTCTTAGTTACAAAATGGCTACCAGTAGCAACCAGGGTACTCACTTCCCTGTTGGTTCAGTAGACGCGGAAAACCTCTCCTATTGTAGGAAGTTATGATCTCTCCTTTGGCCTAATTGACCTTCACATCGACTGAGATCAATTGGAGATGGGACTGAACCCCTTGATGTGGAGGATGGATACCCAAACCCAGCTGGGGAGGCTTTAGAAGCTGTTTTGGCTTCTGGAAAATGGTGAGAACCTTGCAGAGCAATTTGAAGATTGGAGCTCAAAGCTAAAGGGCTGTCAGATTTAGCAAATAAAAAGAGATGACGTCTAGCTAAATTTGAATTTCAGATAAACAGCTAATTTGTAGTATCTTTATGGTCACCTCTTTCCATAAACATCACAAATTTATAGTTGATTCAGTTCTTAAGCTTTTCTCCCAGGTCCTGATTGCACCATGACATCTAGGGTACTTTTAAAGTCTCACTAACCTTCTAGAAAAGTGCATTTTGACAAAAGGAAAAATGGTACCACTTGGTAGTAGTACCAACAAACTGATTTGATTTTATTCTAACAGACTTCACCACTACTCAAAACTAGATCAAGGTACACATTCCTGAGTGGAAGGTCACAGATGGCTATGTGGCACAACACGTTATAAAGCAGCTGCCATTGCTGCTTCATGGGGCCTACATAAAGAGATTCGGTCACTGGTTTTTCTTTACCTTGCCCTGAAGCTACACAGGCGAGCCCTTCCTCACTGGACTCAAAGGCACTGTGGCATACAGGTTTGAGAACAGACTAGGATGCCAGGAATGGTGGCTGCACGTGGGTGCCAGCTGAGGTCACAGCACTGTGAGTTGGCATCTGGAGGAGCCACAAGACTCTGCAAAGCCCTCTCCTGTTGCCTGTGACTGTATTTTCTGTCGCTGTTCATCCCCTGCTCTTACCTATCATCTTTCATAATGTGCTTCCTGAAAAGCTACAGAGAAAGCAGGCGCTTTCATTTCTCATCAAATAATCACCATGTTATAAAAAAGAAAACCCTACCAGCCTGGCACGCAGCGGCCAAACCCAGCTCATCGCTACATACATTCATTACAGAAATAGTTGAAGTGATTTCCCCCCAAGATGCTTATTTTCTATTACATTACTGCGTATTTCTTTTTTTTTTTTAAGATTTATTTTTATTTATTCATTTTTATTGGAAAGGCGGATATACAGAGAGGAGAGACAGAGAGGAAGATCTTCCGTCCGATGATTCACTCCCCAAGTGAGCGCAACAGCTGATGCTATGCCGATCCGAAGCCAGGAGCCTCTTCCGGGTCTCCCACGCGGGTGCAGGGTCCCAGAACTTTGGGCCGTCCTCGACTGCTTTCCCGGGCCACAGGCAGGGAGCTGGATGGGAAGCGGGGCTGCCGGGATAGAACCGGTGCCCATATGGGTTCCCGGGCATGCAAGGCGAGGACCTTAACCACTGCGCCATCGCGCTGGGCCCACTGCATATTTCTAATTTGGTCCCTGCAATGACCTCACACACTGCCTATTTTCTGTCCTTTTGGTAAAAACTAGAAAAGATCCGCTTTTTCCTCTTTGTCTTTTAAGTGGAGATTCTCATGCAGCTTTACAGAAATTTGTCTGCAGTGTCTTTTAAAAAGATACTTTCGAATTTTCAAAAGGTGGCATTGCACTCACATCTCCTTCATTTCATCAGGTCTTTCTCATTGGAAGCCCGGAGGGACGCGCGGTGGGTATTAGGCTCCTCACAGTTCTCCTGGTTGCGATGAGCTCATTGCTCTCATACCAGCTGGGGAGTCTTGCGTGGCAGAGCATCGGACTGAAGCAGAGCTGGGGGTTGCTTGCTGCCGCTGCTACTGCTGCAACAATCCTTTGCGTGCACCCAGCTGCTGTGTAAAGAATCCTCAGGCAGCCAGTTCTTTGCTCCTAATTTACCTAAGGGATTGCAGTTTAGTGGATGAGTGTGTGTGTGTGTGTGTGTGTGTGTGTGCAGGCTCAGCTGCAACAGTTGGGCAGCATCAGTTAGCAATGGATTTCGAGGTTATTATTTTACCAACGGCAGAGATAAAGCATCCTCCATCCTTTATTTCCAAGCTTTGTTCCTGCTCCAAATATGCTCTTCCCCTGGCCCGCTCGGTTTCCCTCGCACAAGTCCCTTGGGAGGGAAGCCACGATGCCTGTGCTGCAGGCAGGATTTCCTCCTCCCCTTTAAAATTTTATTTTATTTTATTTTGCGCAGCGACAGGCGGATTCCGGGGTCTCCTCACCCCCTCCACCCCCGCAGCCACCCCTTTCATAGTCACGATGTGCCCCCTCCGCTCTCCCGCCCCTCCCCCCGCGTCAGCTCGCTGCTCGGGCCCCGCCCCTCCCCAGTCTCTGTGTTCAGGTTGCTAGGGTCTGGTGGGGCAACCAAACGTGGCGCGCGAGGGGGCGCGGCGCGCGCGTGCCCGCGAGCACAGGCAAGTTGCTACAAGGAATTCTCGATTTTGGACTTCGAGGATCTGAGCACGAGCAGCGCGGGCGGGGCGCGCGACCTGGGCCCGAGGACGAGCAGTCGGTCCTCATTGGCTCTCTCCAGTGGTAGGCGGGGAGGAGGCGGGACTTGGCGGGACCTGAGGAGCTTTTCTATTGGTCTAAGAGGACCACTCCGGGCGGGGCAGTTAGCAAATTAGGCTGCGCGGTGGGTTCTGTGAGAGGGCGGGGCCGAAGGTTTGGATTAGTTGTTACTGCCGCTGGGGAAGGTAGAGCAGAGTCTGCCTTCTCTGGAGCTGTGGGGTCCCCGGCTGGAGGTGGGGGACTCGACGGGGTGAGTAATTGTGCTGGCACTCTCTCACAGGCCTACTTGCCTCGTGTCGGTCCCACGTCCTTCCCAATTCTCCCGAGACGAGAGGACCCACCCGGTCCCCTGGGCGGGTGAAAGAAGGGGAGGCAGCGCCCGTACCCCCAGAACTGGGCAGCCCGGCGAGGACGTCCCAGCCCGGAGTGGCCCTGCGCGGCGCCCAGCTGGGCTGCTGGGAGGGCTTCCTCGGAGGGCTGCGGCTCTACGTGGGCTCTACGTCGGAGGGAAGGGGATGCGAGAGGTGTGAAAGAGGGGAGACGGTGGAGGCCGCCCCGCGGGGTTCCCTTCAGCTGCCGGTCTGCGGCGTCCCCGCCCCGCCGCCCTCCGGCGCTACCTCCCTGGGGCTTGCGGCGAGGGAAGCCCCTGTCGCTGTCCGAGGAGGAGCCTGAGCGCCGAAACCCCCTGCCTAAGTTCGGAGGGAGCCGGGGACCAGCCCGGGGCTGCGAGCCGCGGCCCCGGCCCTTCTGACCTTGGCTGCCCGCGAGGGTGGTCGAGTGACCGGACGTCGGCCCCCGAGCTCCTGCCACCTTCCCTGAACAAGTTTCAGGCGTTGCTGTGAAGTTCACGGCTGGCAGCAAGGGAGAGAAGCAGAAATTGAGCCCTTCTCCGAGCTTTGTACCCTTTGGACCCTCATAGAGAACGAATGCTGGGATTTGGGACCGTCTCCCAGAACGAACGGGTTCTTTTGTCACTGACAGATTTTGTGCCCACGTTGGGGGGGGGGAGGATCTGAACATATTTTGATGTAAAGGCAGATAGATCTCCAGCGTTTTGTTTTTCGCTTCTCTTGACTGTTAAAGCATAGATGTCTGAAGAGGAAAAACCTGACCTTAGGATCTATGCTGAGATTAGCCGGGTACCGTGATATTTAAGTAGTTGCAAATCAGTATTCTGTTAACATGGTCTTTTTAATTGGCTGAGATTTAAGCTGGTCTTAGAAAGTACTGTTGACATGGAATAATTTCTTTCGGTGTGTCTAAATTGGGTTCGTCCGGACGTTATGCTTATGTAGTTGACATGAACAATTTTACAAATGAACACTTGAAACGGAAGACCTAAATAGGTATAGAAGGAGGTGATAATTTTTAGGTGACATCTGCTGGAATATTTCCAGTTTGTTTCTTGCTACGGGGCCAGAAAAAGACACCTTCACTGAGGCTATTCAGAATTAACATATGAATGAGATTTAGATGAAAATTTGTTTTTAATATCCTTAAGTGTTTTAAGAGATTTTATTCATAAAATGGGAACAGACCGGATTTACTTGTTCCTGTCTGTTTAGTGTTGGAGGGGCTAGTAAAATCATTTATTTAATAACTCCATTAGGGTTCATTAGTATAATTTTTTTAAAATGCTGTGTGCTGCTTTGCGGGAATATGATGATGGAGCAGCTAGCAAGTCTTTTCATTTCTTTATTGGAGTACTGTTTTAGATTGGAGCATTTTGGCCTTGCCACTGGAACAGGAGTAAGGAAGCTTGCAGCAGTATTACCAGTTTGACACCACCAGTGGGTGTTTCTGTTGACAAATGCAGAGAAGAGGACGTTTGGGAAGGAAACCTTTTTTTTTTTTCCTGGAGGGGGAGGGGGAGGGTGGGAGAGGAGGGAAAAGGAGCTAGAGAGAGAAGCTGCGGAACAGGAGCTGCTAGCCTTTCACAAGTACAAGGAGACCTAATTAGGAGAAGTGCAAAATTCTGTTTGGCTGTATTAAATAATACAACTCCAAAGGAGGCTTACTGAATAAAGTTAACTGTTTCATGATTATTGAAGAATCTTCCATATCAAGGTAGTGGGAGGATCCTCTGCTGGGGAAAGTGTCGCCCCCCCCCCACCCCGGTGGAATTGTCCTGACTGTTCAACATAATCAATGCCATGATTAATTGGTATGCATGTTAAACATGCTTTAGTGTTTTGTTTATTTGGCATATTTCCTAAGGCTGTATTTGTTAAAAACATTTTGATAAGTTAAGAAATCACAAGTAGTAACAAGTTCTTTCTCCAAGGAGGGTTCCTTTTCTCCCCTGCTTCATCTTATAATTTACTCGTGATTTAGGGATTTGTGGTAGGGATTTTTTTTTTACCCCTTCATCTCAGGGGTGAGTGATATTTTTTTTCTTTCTATTTTTTTTTTTTAACTAATGTAAGTTCACTAAATCTACCACTGCTTTCATTGTCATTCTCTTGGAGCCACTTAAATCAGTGCGGCTTCTGCTGCGTTTCCTGCCGTCTCCCATGGATGAGTAATCCAAGGTTGACTGGGAATCAGATGCGTTCAGTCCCCAGTGCGCTGCTTGGAGATCGGGCAGTTTCATTTAATGAGGTTTTACATGGTGTTTCTATTTTGAAGGTGCAGTTTGCTACATTGCAAACTGAAATTCCCAGGTGGAGACATGCTGCAAGTTTGCTTTTTTCCCCCTAGCCCTTTTTTCACCACTGTGCTCAACACTCTGAGATTCCCCATGCAGTTACATTGTTGCAAGTGATGATGGCTTCTCCTGAAGAGAGTGACCCTGCCCTTAGGATCTAGACTGCAGTTTTCCTCCGTGAGAAAATTCTGCTTTTTCTGAGAAATTGGCTGTAGGAAATGTATGAAGCAGAGAGCAGGAAAAATAAATTTTCTTCAGCATACCTTTCCCCACACCTCCCATTTTGATAACTTTGCTGGTTAGACATGAGACTGTGCTAATATAATACTTTTGCTTTTGGCAGTGTGGGAATATACATTTGCATGTAATAAACTAGTATCAAATAATGAGCAACTTAAGAGCAGAGTAATCCATTTACATGGATGTAAAGTGTAAGGGAAAGCCTTCAGGTAACCCTTAACCTTGGCGTAAGAATAGCAAATGTTGAAGTGCTGAGTTGCTTTCGAAGTCGAAAAGCCTGTCTATTCATAGTTGTATCATTTTAAATTAAAAATTTTTTTTTCCAAATCGGATAACAATATTAATTTCTTGGGTGGAAGAGAATCTCAAAGATTCGTTATCATGTGATGATGATGTTAATTGGAATGCATATTTCAATTTAGGAAAATAATGGAATTAAAATACTACTTCTAAATTTTCTGTTGGAGATTTTTCCAACTTGCTTTTAATCTTAAGCTTCGCAAGTCTTTTTCCTTCTTGTTTTGGTAAAGTATCATTTCAATGTTCTGATTTCAGTTTTTAAATTTTCAAAGTTCTTTTATTTATTGGAAAGGCAGAGAAGGAGAGTTATGTGTCTTCCATCTGCTGGTTCACCCCCACACCCCCTCTCCGCCAGTGCAGGGCCAGCATGACTGCAAGAGGCTGCGAGTTCAGTCTGGGTCTGCCCCACATTGGTAGTGGGGACACTTGTACCTGGGTCGTCGCTCTCTGCATCCCGAGTTGCTTTGAAGCAGGAAGCTGGAATCTGGAGCTATGTTGGAACTTGAACTCAGACACTCGGCTGGGGAGTGTGGATCCCTGGATTTCAAGTTCTGAGAATTGTGTTGATCCACGCATGTGTGGCATGGCAGAATTGTTCAAAGATCTGGCCTCATCTCTTCTTCAAGTTTGTGTATTTCATCATTCATCAGATACGAACCTGGCTAAGATTCTGTCGGTAGAGGTGAAAGCGGAGCTAGAGGACCCTGGACCTGAAGAGACCAGTGGTGCTTAAACCCATCAGAATGGGGAATTCACTACAAGTTAAGTATGAGGCGTAAAGGACCTAGTTCTTACATGTCTTGGAAATAGACTATCCAAAAGAAAGCAACTACCAACACTTTGGTTTAAGCTCTTAGAAACAAGTGTTTGGGCAGTAATACTCAGGGTCAGATTTTGGGTGTGGTCTCTTCAGGCAGTCTGTTCTAAAACTTACAGAGCCTCGCCGAATACCAGGTACTGTGGCTAGTAATTTCTTTTTTAAAAAGAGCAATTACTTTTTTAAAAAAAGATTTATTCATTTTTATTGCAAAGTCAGATACAGAGAGGAGGAGAGACAGGAAGATTTTCTGTCCAATGGTTCACTCCCCAAGTGGCTGCAACGGCCGGTGCTGCACTGATCTGAAGCCAGGATCCAGGAACTTCTTCCGGATCTCCCACACGGGTGCAGGGTCCCAAGGTTTTGGGCCGTCCTCGACTGCTTTCCCAGGCCACAAGCAGGGAGCTGGATGGGAAGTGGGGCTGCTGGGACTAGAACTGGTGCCCATATGGGATCCTGGGTATGTTCTAGGCGAAAACTTTAGCCGTTGGACCACCATGCTGAGTCCGGCTAGTCATTTCTTTGCATGACTAGGTGCATGTATGTGTGTTCTCACAGCATCTCTGCGAGGTAAAGTGTTTTTATTTCTTGTTAACATGTCAGAGAAATCAAATACTCGGCCCTGACTGCCCAGCTAGTGCACAGAGAAGGCAGGACTGGCTACCAAACCCGTTTGACTTGAAGCTGCACTCGTCACACCTGATCCCCTGAGGCTGCTTTGAGTACTTGCTGTATGTCTTGCCCGGGTGGTATTGGAAGTAGCAATGTTCTGGCAATCTGAACTGTTGAGACTACAGATCATCCTGTTGGCCATTAGCTCTGTGTCTCGATAAATGAAGAATGTGCATAATCCTTTATGCCCCCAATAACGTGACCATTTTTGTTGGACCGGTTGTATTTTGTGTTATCTGCACGTTGCGTTGTAACCTTTGACTGGTTTTGACTAAATTTGCTGCACTAATAAAGGCTATGAAGATAGTTGTTGAATGCAGCTTTGTGTTTTAGGTGGATTCTCTCAGTAAAATGGCAGCCATTAGCCATTTATAGACAAGCAGCTGTTCTGTAATCGTATCAACCTCAGTGAAGTGAAATCTGCAGGTGAAATTCATGGAGTCATGTTATTGTTCCTTAATATGAGGATACTTCAGAAAGTTTGTGGAAAATAGAATTAAAAAGAAGAGTTATTTCAGTGCCAAAATCTTTTGAAAATCCATATTGAAAAATAAATATATTTTCGAGAAACTTT